TGGGTTGGGTAGGGTTGGCTAGGAAGGGTGGATATGGGTTGGGTTGGATTGGATTGGATTTGAAGGGTGGGGTTGGATTGGGTAGGGTCGGATTGGAAGGGTGGGGTAGGGTTGAGTTGGATTGGGAGGGTGGGGTTGGCTTGGGTAGGGTACGGTTAGGTTAGTTTGGAATGGGTTGGGTATGGTGGGGTTGGGTTGGCTTGGGTTGGATCGGGTAGGGTAGGGTTAGACTGGTTGGGTTGGGTAGGGTGGGGTTAGACTGGATTTGAGGTTTTTCGTTTTGTTTTGTTTTGGTTTTGTTTGGTTTTGTTTGTTGTTTGGTTTGAGTTTGTATTTTACCGTGCACGGCGGAACCCTACCGCCGCCACGCTCATTTATAAGCCTTCTCACCATGGCAGACAGTTCAGGCAATTAACCAAGTAAAAACAGCTGGATGTATTGGATTTTGTCCAATCCAATCCAATCCGATCTGAGGCTGGATTGCGTGGAATCTGGACTCGGATGTAGGAAGAGTACATCTTAATTAGAATAACCACAAGGTTCAATTTATCATAATTGCTGTATCCCAACAGTCTGTGAGTCGAATGAATACGCACTTCAATAGCTCACGTTTTTATCAATTTTATTTGATGCTCCCAAAGAGGAAAACCCCATTATCTCATTTTCCGCAAGCAAATGATTGGATTTTTTAAGTTGCACCACCCCTTTTCATAAAACCCAATTTCCTGCTAGCAGAAATTTGGATTTTACTTTGCCGAAAGCGGGGTGGTCCAAAAGTGGGCAAGTTAAAACCTGGAAGGACACTTTCCTCCCAACGTTGAAATGGAACGGTCTTGGGAAGATTGGCATCACCCGAGCCTAAAAAAAATAAGCTTTTACTGCTAATGTAGATTGAAATTAACGGTCAGTCCCTGCATGGTTGGACTCACCTCCGAAACTTTCAAGAGCTTGGTCTCTGTTTTCCCTGGTTGCAAACGTATGGAGATCTGCTTCTATAAGTCGGTACACTGCCGCAAAAATATTTGTTTCAAAAGCAGCAGAACTTTTGTTCTTTTCCGGTCCCCGTCGACTTCAGGGAAAAACCACGCAAGGGTACTTTGGGTGAAATAGTAGCGACGTTCCTATCATGTGTTCATAGTATGGTGGCCTGGTAGGGACATCGCCAATCGTCAATATTGCCGTCAAATTTGGCAACCAAATTCACGACTCATTGTATCTCCGAATGCAAATGTTGCCACGAATTGTTCTCCAGCAAGCCAGGTGGGGAGAGACGTTGCTCGGCTATAGACACAGCAAATGAGTTTTAACGTTGTGGCCCCTGCGTTGTGCCAAAACTGCCAAGCGGAATAACGACTTGAGATCAAGTCGAAGCCGAAAAATGTTGGTCATTGCGCGTGAACACTTCATTGCGCGTGCGCGTGAACACTTCATTGCGCATGCGCGTGAACTCATTTTTGCCTAGCTTGCTGGAAAAAAAACATCGTGACAGTATTTGCGATCAGAGACAACGCGTCGTGAATTGGGTCGCAAGTATTGACGGCAATAATTATTTGCGACCAGAGAGCGAGTCGTGAATATTGACAATTGGCGATTTCCCTCCAGGGCCACCATATGTGTGAGATTGCCTGTGCAGAGTGTATCTCGAAACGACTGGATATGTAACAAAGCCAAGAAAGCTACATACTGTAGGTGATCGCCATTAAACAACCGTAAAAGCAAAAACACTGTAGAAACGCTGGGGCATTTTGCCCAACGTTGGGTACCTGGTAAATGCGTAACTGTTAAGCCAAAAGAGCATAACACTGGGTAAAAAAACCGATAGTACTAAATATCATTTTTATGACCGTTGAGAGAATCACTGGGGTCTGCTGGTGGCTACGTTAATCGCCTTACCATGGCAAGATTGAATGACTTCAGCGAGGCTTTGCTTGTGCGAGTTAAAACTTGGGAAATGGTACTCCCTTCGTAGCGACTTTATCTACGATCACAAAGATTCGGTGCACCACTTACTCATTAATAATTTGCCCTATGTACTGTGAAACACACGCAAGACTATCATGGCCTACTTTAACAGTGAAGTTGACAATGGGCAGAAGCAAAATGCAACACAAAGCCATCACAAAATAAGTTTAAGAAATTGGAAAGGGTTCTTGTAATTGGTAAGAACGATTTAATATCACACACAGTGTACTGTGATTAAAAAAACAAACTACCTCTGCATTAGCTGCGGTTCATTGTAGGGAAATCAATAACCAGCTATCGAGCAGACAGGCACGTTTCTAAGGAGGATACTCGGCCTTCTATCCAGTGAATCGATCCCTGTGATTTGAATACGTGAGGAGGGGAATCTCAGTGATGACTAGGACAGTGCAACACACTCAGGCCCAAAAAGTCTCCGGTTTCTAGTCAGCGCGCGCGTCGCTGTAGACCTGCGCATCGGCAAAATAAAAAAGTATTATATTTTGGTATAAAACGATGTCCAAAAGCTGCCAAACTTGCTTAATCGACTAGAATCCTGCTACTGCGTAATTTTAACGTGTTTTGATGGGGTATGGTTGAGTGATAATTATGTACCGTAAAGGAGTCCCTCTAGTTCCCCTTGCATTCAGTCGGGCACTCTTTTTCAGACAACGTCATTTCATTTATGCATTTACCCATTTATTCATTTACATCTGGGGAACCATACGAGGTAGTCTCATGTCCTGTGTACATGTACAAGCTGAAAATACTTTTAAACATTAAAAAGTGTCGGTCTCTTTTAGTGTTGGTAGCGGCCGGCATTACGTGCGCATGCAGTCGCGATGGACATTGTGCGTTATACGTACATCATTTCCAAAAAATAAGTGAGAGTAAAAAAAATAAATAAATAAAATAAAATAAATAAGCTGCGTCACCGCACCACTTTGGAGCCACCTCCTGACCAGAATCCAGAGACTGTTTGGCGATAGCTGAGCAAAACTAAAGTAGAAGCCCACTGCAATTAGTTCACTGTTCTCATTGACGAAAAGTCAGGTCTATGAGGTGCGCTACGGTGATCTGTCAAGATCTCCCCGACCATTGAGGGGGAGGGGCGCATTAACATTAACATAAGTGGACCACCAGTACCAGGACGTACACTGAACTAAGCGCCACAGCTGTGATGAGCACGGTCATGGGAGGTTGTGATGTGTGCCGTGCCTTAATTGTTGCTTTTTTTCACAACCACACTTCTTCCAAACGAGATAGTTCCTTACGTGGTGCCTCCACAAGCTTCACACAGTACACAGATTTCACCTCAGTTTGGAGCCCATATTGCCACTAAATCTGCACCAATAACCCAAAGCCTCCTCCACAAAGCAGGTCCAAATTACAAATCATACATTTCATGTGCAATCACCAGGGTGCCAATTCGTGACTTGTCAGTTTTCGTTCCAAGCCTGTCAATATCTGTCTATCCAATGATAGACTTGATGTTTATCCTTTGCTGGCGTGAATTATGCCGGAAATTGGGAGGAAGGCAGATGGGGAAATGTGGGGGGTGAGTTGCCTGGCCATGGAAATTTGAAAAGCGGAAGGGGGGATGTTACACCACGTGACACTATATAAAGGTCGATGTTTGTGATATTTATGTACATCTGTAATACGTATTATATTCATGCAGAATCTTAAATCAGAATGGCATAGTTATGGCTTTTTAAATTGGTTTTCATTTTCGAGTGATATTGAATGCAATGTATTCGGTGGGAAGTCCTAAAAATTCGTTGCAATCCGCTTTAATTTTTTCTTACCACAAAAAGTGGAGGGATGATTTAATAGCCCATCCCCTCAATCAAAAAAATGTGGGGGGGGGGATATACATGCTCATCCCGCTGGCATTAAGCCTATATTACTAGTACCCTTCGATATTGGCAGCTCATCACAAAATTATGACCTTCAAATTAATCGTGGTTTCCACTACCTGTCACGCAAACTACATAACAGTTCTCTACAAAAAAGAGACAGGAAATTAAAGCAGATTCACGTGAGGCAAATACGTGCAGAGTTTTAGAATTTGATGCATCTCTGCTACAAATCGTTGCAAACAGATTTCTGGAGACTAAGTGAAGACAATGCCAATTCCACGATGATATAACTTCTTTTGACTCGAATGAGGACATCTCACCGCCAACAAATTTGGCAGATCACAATTCCAAGAGGATTGTGATATCCTGCTGCTGCGACTGGGCTTCAAAAGACTAGAGTTATCCACTGAGAACAATGAAAACCAATCAAAAAAAGACAAAAGATGGCAGAATGACACGATACGTTTTGGAGGGAAAATTAGAGCAAAAACATTTATCAGAATAAACACAACCAGTCATTATGAGCAGTAATTTAGAAATCTGAAAAATGGTAACCAATATAGGTTATAGTTCTGACCACGTTGGAGTAATGGAAGATACCAACAGTCATTGCATACTTTTCCCAGTTGCAAATGTGCTAAGGCAACCACAGCCGAAATTCGGGCAGTACGTCATGACGGCGGAACGCACATAGACTGTGTACAGTATGTCAAGATCTTAAGCTTGTTTCTTATGAACAAGCAACTCCAAGGAACGCCGAGCCAAACTGGGCGACGAAAGCATTTGGCGCGGTGTTACAAGGCTTATTGGAATAAACAGGACTGGCACTATAAAGCCAAACGACACGATTTGCACCCAGACTCTTGCTGTTCCAAGCGTTTCCTTTTTGCGACAGTGTGCCAACGACACTGCTCTAATCATTTTTGTCGTTAACCTCTGGATAATTGTATCAGTTTCTTTCAGTCACAGGCTTCGGCGCCAGTCCAGTTATTCATTTCTGGTCAGCTTATTCGTCGACGAAGTTATTTGCACAGTAATGGTAACTGTCAGTGCTCATATGAAGGTTCTAAATCAGTTTTATTTGAGCAGTATACATTTATAGGGCTGTTAACTATTCAAGGGTTTTTCTTGAATTTAGCCAGTTTGCTGCCAAACGATGTTTCAAAATTATCCAGCCCATGCAGTATATGCGACTGATATCCAACACAGTACGTGGCGGTAGGCCTATTATTCTAATTGTATGGAGTCTTTTGCTCCTTGCCCTTTCGAGTTCATTCACCGTTGCTTTGGTACAAATTGACTGGGAATATTATTTCCCTGGTCGAATTCTAAAGTTGACGAGCGAGATGTTTCCCACGGTGCTTGCTGTGCTGATCGACATTATCATATTCCCCTGCTTGACTCCAGATAAGGGAATTTTTAGTTTAATATAATTCGCATTGCAAGAGCCCAGCAGCGTATAGCTGCCCAAATTATCAATCCAAGAAGCATGGCGGCTATTAAACGAAAATCTGCATCTAGAGCAACCCGCCAACAGGCGTTCATCAAAGCCAACATCGTGCATCAGCGCATTCGCTGCTACAATCATATTACCGGCTGTTATCCTCACTGACGTCCTTGCTTCAGTTAATAAAATGCGGTAAATCCACGTATACTTTGACTGGCTTTCGCCGTTCTGAGCTGTCTAACCAACACACAACAGGAGAACAGAAAGGTTACTTCGACCAAGTCTCACACATCAATACTTAAGGTAAATGTGTCAAGATGCCCCATTCAGTTCCCCATTGTTGTTCAATTATTTGTTTAATTTCCTAAAAAGGAATTAAAATAATTCCTGTCACCACCTTCTCACTCATTTACCTGACCTTGCCATCACCAGTATTAGCATGTTAATTTTAGCAAGCCACTGCTTAGATGTGAACAAACTTTAACCTTGGCAAATTTTGACTATGTACGCGTAGTTCATGAGATCACCCATTTTCATGTTGTCCACAGTGGCTTATGTAACGCGATGTACGCGTCATATTTTACATATCTGAAACCATGCTTTGGCGAGGCAGCGCCTGCACAACTTTTACACAGGTAACTTATGTTCTTACCGGTATTTTCACGTCTTTATTTTGTAACCTATAGAGATATTTGTTAGTTGTGATGTACCTGGACCGGTTTGATGGTATATTTAGGGAAAGCTGAGAACTCAAAGTGGTGATTT